GTAATAATTGTAATAATTGTATGAATTTGTTGTATGCATACGATTTTATGATCGTGGTAATAAAAATATGAAAAGTGTATACGATAAGTGAAATTTATAATAATAATAATAATAATAATAATAATAATAATAATAATAATAATAATAATAATAATAATAATAATAATANTAATAATAATAATAATAATAATAATAATAATAATAATAATAATAGTAATAATAATAATAATAGTAATAATAATAATAATAATAATAATAATAATAATGAAGATAAATGAATTTAAAATGTCTTTCATGTTAGTAAAAATATATAATAAAACAATTAAATTTTTTAATTATAAATTATAAAAATTATAAAAAAAAATTTGATAAAATTCTATCATCATTTTATCGAGACACGAAAAATATTTGCATCTCGATTTTTATGGATCGCGTTTTATATTCACACATACACACATATACGTATGCTGTCTATTCATTTTTTTTTGTCAAAGTGTAAAAGTATGGTATACCTAAGAGCCAATAATGATTAGATATATTTGTAAAAAAAAAAGTTCTTGAAGAAAAATTACAGTCAGGTAGAGATATCTTTGCGACTGTAAGTTGTCGTCGTTCCTTTCGAAATAAGGCAAATGTATAATACGTTTGAATGTGAAGAAGAAGAAGAAGAAGAAGAAAGGGCGGAAGTCCTTGCCGAAAGTAGTAGTCATCGATTATTTGTCCCCTTCTCTTCCATTTTCGTAGAGCTTGTACGTTAATGGAAGCCATTACTTACCAGGGAAGAAACGGTAGTAGACCTTTGCCAGTGGTACTGCACTTTGAAGCAACCAACCAAGCTTTTCGTCAGTAACGAAAATAAGAAAAATGAACCTTTCGATTCAACTCGCGAAAGAACTTTGTCCATTTCAAAGTGAATAATATTTCACGAGATCTTCCAAATTTTCGTGTCATTTTTAAAAGATATTTTTCAAATGTAAAAATGACGTATTTGAAGGCATTCGAGATCTGAAATAAGATGAGAGATCTTTCTCGGTTCCTAATAAATCTTTCTTTTTATTTTACAAATGTGCAAGCAGAAATTTTTCTCAGGCATTGTCTTTAAATCTTGACGCATTTATTTTTTTCGTTTTTAGGGAAAACATTTCGATGCATTATGATTAAAAAATAAAATACTCTTTTGGTATATTAAGCTATGCAAATTAGTTCTAATTAACCTACGACAATCAGTAAAATTTGTTTCTAAAAATTTTTTTTCGAATAAAAAATAAAATAAATACAAAATAAAAAAAAATAAAAACAAAATAAACAAATTTCAATCCTCCATCTTACTTTACAAAAAGTATAGAAAAATTACTCGTTAATTATAAAAAAAATACAATTTCTCAATGAACAAAAACATATCCTATTATACCAATAAAAAACAATATTTAATTTAAACTAAATATGGTCTAATATTTTTCCTCCTATTAATTACAACGAAAAATACAACACGAATGAGGGGAGGGGGGAAATAATCAAAAGATAGTATTGAAAAAAAACGTGCGTTGCGTTTTTGTAAATGGAGATCGTGAACGGATCGTGCGCGTTCTTGCGCTTAACATCGTAGAGATAAAAGCGATTTGGTGCGTGCCAAGGGGGTCAACGGATGGAATTAAAGTTGGGGAAGGAGTTGGGTGTATTGGGATCTCGACCTGGTCGAGTCCTTTTCGGTGAGATGAAGTGAAAGGGTAAAGGGGTGAGGGGAGTTGGGAATAAACGAGCCATGACGTGTGTGTTAACCGATACCGCTCACCATAACGCAACGCAACTCAACGCAACGAACGCACGCTCTGCGGTTACGGAATAACGTGTAGGCGTGGCTGTTGCTTTTGATATCAACGATGGCCACCTTTCGACTGTAAATCAATCGATATCTACCGCGAATACGAACAGGGAAAGAAGGAGAGACCGGGGGGAGGGGCTATATACACTAGGAGGGTCACACGTCCGAGAGGGTGAGAGTTCACCACTGCTGCCATCGAGAAGCATGCGCCAAATGCTGAATACGAATCGACCCGCCCCAAAGGTTTTATCCCTTTATGGGAGTTTGTTGCAACGCCCGACTATTATCCTCCCACTATTTTTTTCTCTCTTTTTATCAGTTCTGCGAATTTTCACTTTTGCGAATTATCCAAAAGTTTACACCGTGTGCGAATTGAATATTATTTTATTGATCCCATTTTTGGTTACTTTTTTTTTTGTCATAGGAAAATTGTAATTTTGAGTTTTTTGTTTTTTTCTTTTCTTTTTTTTTTACTAAAGAATCGCGATAAATCGAATTTAGATAGCTTAGAGAGTGCTCGTTTATTTTTGTAGAATTTCAAATTGAAAAGAAGAATTTTACTTCTCTCGATAATTTTATTTTTCATTCGTGTTGTAGTACCTATTGATTAATACTTTCTCTTTCTATTATTAATTAACTCTTTTTCAATTATCAAAATCTATCGTGCAATTTTAATTTTGTTATTCTATTGTTATTATCATTCATAGTTTTTACTTTCTTTTTTTTATAATAAATATTGTAATAAATAACACTTTTTTGATTACATAATAAATAAATAAAATTAAAAGACTTAATTTTTATAATTTAAAATATAAAAACAAATTAAAACTCTTATTCTCAATAATTAATAACAAATTTCTTAATTATTATAGTATCTTTTTTCTAATAAAACTTTTCATCATTTAAATTTACGACTAACTTTATCTATTATTTAAAATATCATAATGATTTATATGGATGCATTAGGACACGTGAAGGTTTAGTAAGAATAAACACATCGGATTCTTGTTTTTACGTAGCTCGATAATGGGAATATTTAATCCGTTCTTATTATCATTACCATCATCATCATCATTATTATCATTATCATCATATCATCACCATCATTATCATCATCACCAAAATTTTCTTTCTTTCTTTCTTTTTATCTTTTTTATCTTGTTTTTCTTTAAATAATTTTACAGGTATGAGTTCGTCGCGTTCAAACGCTACGCATTTCGTGCGATACAAGTAAATAAATAGCTAAAGTTTAAATTTTAAACAGTCTATAGAGGATTCAGGACATCGGGATGGGAAAAATTGGAAGGGAGGATTATTTGTTTCTTTTTTTTTTCAATATTCTAAAACGGTATGATATGTACACGACGCTTTCTTCTTATTATTTTTTTCTTTTATTACTCTCTTCTTTTTCCTTGTTTTTTCATTCGTTCATTCATATGTATACGCATTTACAAAATGTTTTGTTATATGTGGGACTTTCTCACTTTTAAGGGGAACAAGGGATTCAAAAACAATGATAAGAATTCGTACAAACGTTTGTCCTTGTATTTGAATTTTTTAAAGAAATAATAGCTACTTTTGTGTTTCAATAATCCTGGATAGTTAATTTGAATATCAACCTGACGAATCTGAGGAATTCTGAAATCTGTTCAAAATAACCACCCTCGATTTGTTATCAAAAACTGCAGTCTTTCAAAATTCCAGGTACACGTCGAATTCTTTGACAGTTTTGAAAGTTCTTCAATCCTGGGAATGGATTGTTACAACAATTGTTAGAAATCACAATTTAACACACTAGTAATTTTAAACACGCAACAAATAGAAAATATGTAGTATAAAAATTGAGTATAAAAATGAACTAATTAAACCTATAGTACTAAATTTAATTAACAAAATGTGTTCCATCAACAAGGACAAGAAATATGTAACACGTGATATTGAACACAGAACACTTTTTAAAATTCCAAACCGAGAATGATTAGTTTGTGTATATTGATAATTGGAACAAAAAAGTGATTACAAATTTGAATCAAATTTAAATAAGACACATCAATAAATAAAATTCTTCTTTTTCATTGTTTTCGAATCCCTATAAATTATTATAGACGCATATACATATGAATAATAATATTTCTAGTAACTACTGTCTTTCATCTCATCCTCTATTATGTATAATAATTAATATAATCTATTGCACGTCGCAAACGCACCTCCGCAATTCCGTATCACACTTACGTTGGTGCCTAAGTTTATTTTTTTTTTTACATTTTTACAATAAATTAATTCAAGAGAGAAAAAGACGATCGCTAGAAACTTTTTTCTTTCTTTCTTTCGCGAGATGTAAAGTGGGATGGTAAGGGATTAAATGGGTTTTGGTGGTGGAGTGGAAATGGGTGGGGAGTTTATATACATACACTTACACACGCATGCACACGCAATCACACGCATAAACATTTTCTTTATTTTTATTTTTCTTCGTTTTTTTTTCTTCTGCTTCTCTCATCGCATGTGTGCACCATGAATGATTATGATAATATTTTATTCGATTCTCGATAACGTTGTTTCGAACGTACGTAAATGGCACTGTTAAGGTTCGAGGGACGATTTGTTTGATTATTTTGTTTGTTTCCTTTTTCTTTTGTTTTTTGTTTTTTAATGAAATCATCAACGATCGGAGAAATAATATTCGATTAAATTAAAAATTATAATTAATACTAAATGTACTCATGACTAGTTTTTAGAATTCTACGATCAATATTATTGATTTAATCATTAACGTGACGATAATTTTAATAATAATTAATATCTAAAAATTCTTTTTTGTTTGTTTATTATCGGCATTCGATTCTATCGAAGTTTGTCAATTAAAATTCGATTGGGTTAAAATTCGAATGAACACTAAACTTACCGTGAAAAATATTAATATTCTTCTAAATCTTATTTTTAAACGAATTGAAAATAATTATTATAAATATTTTAGTTGTTATTATCTAAAAATTTTGCTAACTTATTATCAAAGATTGAAAATTTAAATGTATACAAAATTTTAATTGTCGATAGGTTTAGTGTTTTATTTAAAACGATTGATACTGAAACTGTTCAGTAATTTTGTTTCAAAAATAAGAGAATAAAAAATAAAAAACACTTCAATAAAATAAAATTAAATATCTTTGTGAAAGTGGATAAGATAATCATAAAAATCAAATTGCAATCCCTCGTGACCTTGTCGAGTTACGAACGACGAGGAAATGACTAAAAGAGGAACCCTGAAGATCGATATGATATTTCGGAAACAATCAAACGATAGAAACGATAGAAACAAAATTCTATAGGTCATGATGTAACACTCGAACTATTTCTATAATCGTCATTTCGCTTGCAGTTCAGCTGCTTGTTCCTCTTCTTCCTTGGTTAACGGCACAGTAGAATGATTGTACAATCCTTGAGCCATCAATTGCAACGCCAATGGATTTTTCTGACCGCTCGCTTTTTTAATCTTTGCCCTCTTGTTCTGGAACCAGATTTTAATCTGTGCCTCGTTCAATCCTAAATCTCTTGATAGTTGTTGCCTACGACGTTCGGTTAGATAACGATTTTCCGCAAATTCTCGTTTCAATCTTGCCAACTGTTCACCACTGAATGCTGTTCTAGGTCGTTTCTCCTCCGGCGTAGAACCGCTTCCACGTGAATCACCTGTCCTCTTAACTCGCCGCGTACGTGGGCCTGAAATCACACGTGACGGTTCTAGCGTTAACTCGTATCTGTCAATATAACTATATGCATATGTCGGATTAATCGTTTTATCTTTCATCTTATCGGATTCTTTTTCGTATTTTTTATTATTATGATGAATATCTCGACTCGAGTAATATTTTATATATATATATATATATATATATATATATATATATATATGTTGGAAGACCGTAAAAGTTTGTACCGTTTCTAAACTTGTTTAACATTTATTTCTATTGATCAAAGCGGCACAAATATTATTGTTGAATATCTAATTTTTATTTATTTTGCAATAGTATTTTTAATAATGTCTTTTTTATGCATTCAAATCAATTGTTTATCTAATGTTTTTCAAATAGATTTTTCATTCTTTCGTATTAACTTTTTTTTTATCTAAATTTTTTTTTCAAAACCACAACTTATGTGTGCACAAAATTTAACCATATATATTATCATGGATGCAAAGTACAAATTATGCCCACGTGATATTTACTTATACGAAAATTACCCCTCGATGATATTCATGCAAAAAAAAAAAAATAAAAAGAAAAAATTAAATATGATAAAAATGTGGAAATTTCTAGTAAATGACTATTATTATTATATTTTTGTTCTTATTACATCGTAAACCTTAAAACAATTAAATTTAGGTTCGTTAACAAAGAAATAAGCTACAATTACGATGATTGCACCATACCTATGTAATACTAATAACTATCATGAATATCCCATAAATATTGGATTGGAAAGAAAGTATCCGCGGAATTTGCCAATAGATAGTGCTAGCGTCGAAATCTCGGTTTGTATGATTTGTATCGGGTTATACTATACGCCGTTCGAAAGATGACATTTCAAGCTACATTCTCTATGAAGACAGTTTTGCAATTCGTCGTGCCTGTCCAAAGTTATATTCCATTGAAAATGAGTGAAATTTCCGAAGAAATACGTTATGTGATGCTTTATTACTATAAAAAAGGCAAAAACGCTGCAAAACATGTCGAAAAATTTGTACGGTCTACGGTGAGGATGCTGTAAGTGAACGTCGCACACAGGAATGGTTTGCTCGATTCCGTTCCGGAAATTTCGATGTCAAAGATGCACGACGCTCTGGTCGGCCAATCGTCGAAAATGCTGATAAAATCATGGAATTAATTGAGCTAGACCGTCATGTGAGCACTCGATCGTTAGCCCAGGAACTAAATACCACTCATACAACCGTTTTGAACCATTTGAGTAAGGCTGGATACAAAAACAAGCTGGATGTTTGGGTGCCACACGACTTAACGCAAAAGAACCTTTTTGATCGAATCAATACATGCGATACACTGCTGAATCGTAATAAAATCGACCCATTTCTGAAACGGATAGTGATTGGTGATGAAAAGTGGATCACATACGACAATGTAAAGCGTAAAAGATCGCGGTCGAAGGCCGGCGAATCATCCCAAACGGCGGCCAAGCCTGGATTGACGGGCAAGAAGGTTTTACTGTGTGTTTGGTGGGATTGGAAGGGAATCATCTACTATGAGCTGCTGCCCTATGGCCAAACACTCAATTCGGACATATACTGTCAACAACTGACCAGATTGAAGCAGGCGCTTGACCAGAAACGGCCAGAATTCGTGAATAGAAAGGGTGTTGTGTTCTATCAGGACAACGCTAGACTGCACACATCTTTGACGACCCGGCAGAGACTCCGGGAGCTTGGATGGGAGGTTATATCACACCCACYKTATAGTCCGGACCTRGCACCAAGTGATTACCACCTTTTCCGGTCCATGCAAAATGCTCTTGGCAGTACTAAGCTGCCCTCAAAAGAGGCTTGTGAAAATTGGTTGTCTCATTTTTTTGCTAATTGGGATGAGGGCTTCTATGAGAGAGGCATAATGAAATTACCTTCAAAATGGCAACAAGTTATCGAACAAAACGGCGCATATTTGACCTAAATCGGTTTATTCATTCTTTGTAAATTTAAATTTGAAATAAAAGTAAATTTCCGCGGATACTTTCTTTCCAATCCAATACATCGCTCCCGATTCATCTGGCATTTAGTATGTGTGATGACGTGTTTATTTCTCTCACAATTAGTTGAACGATCAATCGTAGTAATCAAAAAATAAGAATAAAATCTTAAGATTGTTGGTTTTAAAAGTCAAAGACAATGTATGTGAAAAGAACATACACACGAGTATACATACACTATCTGGCAAAGGTTTGAAATGCCTAAATGAATTCCCAAAAAACAGGAGTTTTATATTTTTTATTATGTTGTTCACCAACGAATTTTTCTTTAGTTTTAAACATAAGTTGATCTATTCCAAGACAATTTGACAATAAATTTTTCAAGAGTTTTTAATTGAATATTTTTCTAAAATTCTTTGTCTTTAAAGTTGTTTAAAATTTCCTGGTAGAAAAATTCATTTCAAACATTTCCTTAAACTGTACAAGATAATTATGAACATAAGAAGATGCTAAAAATACTTAACAATTAATTCATCTTGTTTAATATTTCATATAATAATAATAGATCAGAACAAATCAGTAAATAATTTGAAACTTTTTGTTTGTAGTGTATATACATTCATACTAGTGTAATGTAGTTTCCGCAGAGAATAGAGAAGAGAAAAAGAGAAGACATAAAAAAAACGTTCACGTAAGAAAAAAATCCGTAATATCTAAACGATAGCTAGGAAAGTTGAACGTTGATTCCACAAGTTTACGTTGGTAGTAAACACTATGAGAAATTAACGTAGCTACCACACAGTGGGGACCACTATACTTTTGCTACGAGAGTGTCAAATTTTACGACAACTTTTATTGTCTAGTTGGTTTCAGACACACGCTAAGTTTCCTCTAACAAGACTGTCTTTTTTTTACGTATATGTATTTTATATGTGCGCGTATATTTGTGTATGTGTATGTATCCGCAGTGACTATAAGTTAGAAAAGGATAGAAAAAAAAAGATAAAAAGAAGAGTTAGGAGGAGCTCAGAGGTCGGTAAAATAAACGTCCGTTACGAAGGAAGAGTATCTTCTAGCAAAGAGGTAAATCCTTCCGTCTCAATCCTTCCTGTTTTTATCGTTGTCTTCTTTCTATCTAACGTAAAGATGAGAAGGATGAGAATAAAGAGGAGAAGATGGTGGCGGAGAAGGAGGAGGAGGAGGAGGAGGAAGCAAAGGACCTGCCACAAACAACTCTATCGTAAATCAAGTGTATTATTATTGCCAAGAGTGCGAGTATCTCTTAAAGTCGATTCTTACAAGCAACGTTAGCACCCCACGTTCGTGTTTTAGAAGCAAATATATCCTTTACTCGGTTCTACTCGTCTGATGAAGAGACCCCCTCTGAGCTCTCTTCTTCTTTTCCCTTTTCTTATAGTATTTCCAATTACTGAACGTTAATCTCTAATTTTACGAAGGCACTTGTGATTTGTTTTCTTTTTTTCTTTATTTTCATTTCAATATTTTAACTACGATAATTGCTTATTGAGAAGTGAATAATTTTATTTGCGAATTTGATAGTAATTTATAATTTTATTTTGTTGTCTGTATATAGAAAACAAAAACATTCAAATAAATTAAAAATATTTTATTACAATCTTAGTTAATTGATAAAAATATAAAAGTTAACTGTGAATTAATTAATGCAAATATTTTGTTATTTAATATATGACAAAATAAATTTTTCAATATATAAACATATTATCATAATAATAATTATATAATTCACTCTGTATTGCATAAAAAAAATTGTATCTTGAATGCACTTATATATATATATGCATTGTCGTATCAATTATTATTCAATCGTTCAATTTAATATAAAAGCTACCTATAAATGTAAATTATATATTAAATAATTTAAAAAAATCTATCGTGAAAGTAGAAATATTGTGTGTTTTTTTTTAAATTATTATTTGTGGAATATTGTATGATTTTATTGTCAGAACGATATAATTCTAATCGAAACTAAGCGATCTCATTTTCCGTATCCCGCAGCACTCCATCACTGGAAACCCCTAACGCTAATAATTCACGGTGTAAACACGGCGTGTCGATCGGTTTGCTCGTCCATGGTATAAAACGTTGTTGTTGCGTTTTGCGGTACTCTCGGCAGTGGTCTATCTCGTTCTGGTAATTGCGAATAAATCATATCGTAACGATCAACACCGGGTATTATCGATCTCTGCGATTCAACTACGTTGAGAAAAGATTACGTAGAACCTTCTCGTGAATATCGTTTTACAAAAGAGAGAAAGAAAGATAGAAAGAAAGAGAAAGAAAGAGAAAGATAAAGATAAAGAGAAATAGAGAAACGTTCAAGGTAAACGTTCGATACACAAGTTCAGGAACGATGATGAAAAGGAGTATCATCTTTATCGATTTAAATGTATGTAAATAGAAAAGCTTTTTGAAAGATTTCAATAAGTATAAACTTAAATCCCTTCTCATCGTATTTGCATAAATCATTCTGGAAAAGCTACTAGGAAATTGATAATAAAATGAGATACGAACGGATCGAATTTTCTTGATTGAAATTGGTGATAGAAAGAGAAGTGTATTCTACAATAGTTTCTCTCTGGATACATGTGTACATTTGTACGAGTTGAAAAGATATTAATTTTGATAGTTATGATTTGTAGTAAATATCGAATGATTTAAGGAAGTAGATATATCATGATGTAGTGTACATTCTCTTATGAGTTAGAGTCAATAATTATCTGTAATATAATTTTTCTTATTTAGTTTACTGTTAAATGTTTATGAATTCGTATTTGTGGTTTTTATTTTATTAGAGTTGTACCAATTTTAACAGGATTGGTTGGTTACATTTTATTTCTGATATTAACAATGGAAAATCTGTTCAATATAACAAAGTAGAATAATAAATACTATAAATTATAACTAATCCTATATTGTATTACAAATCACTTTCAATTTCTTATACATCAAAAAAATTGTCTAAAAATCTATACTACAAATACTTGACACTAAAAGTACAAAATTTC